TCGTTGAAGTTGGCCTGCCTGCAGGGCTACTTCGCTGCAGCTAAGTGTGAAGTTGGATATGCGGATTCCCAGCCAAGGGGCAAATATCAAAGTCTGGCCCAGATAGAAGGTCTTAGAGTTTGGATGGGGAAAGAGATTCCACCTTTTTCTTACATCTGTATAGTTTCTAGTATTGAAAACAGATGCAAAGCACAACATGTTAGGTTTTCTTTATTGGAAAGCAGACGCCTGCTTCTGCACCTTGGATAAACCAGTTATCTGCAAAATACACATAAGTTATTTTAAAACATAATGAGAGAATCAGAGCTATGATAGGTATGAAGAGAGGTATGGAAATAGTTACTTAAAAGAAGTAATCAACTATGGAGACTGTAATGGGAACTTTTTTATATTCTGATATGAAGACTTGTGTCTTCCCTAAGGTATATGGAAAAATAGATGTGTTTGTTAGTTATTGCACCAAAATATACCTTTTTTTACTTGTATGAAAAAACAAACAAACAAACATTATCTATCATATTAGGATACCATCCTAAATGTTTCACCTGTACTGGAAATTTAGATATCAAACCTTTAACCAGGTTGGAAGCACACTCAGTGAGCAGTAAAGATCAGGGATCACTGAACACTAAAACCCACTTCATATTTTATAACAAAGAATTTTCTGAAAGAAAAATTTCACTGAGTGTAGATCTCTGCATCCTGTGATACAGGAGTGTAAATACTTTCGTTACAAAATACAAGAAAAGTGCTTTTTAGAGAAACTTTTTGTAAGTAAATTTTAATGAGTTTTAAGATGTGACAGTTTTTCTAAATTTTGAACTCTCTATAAGACTAACCTTTTAGTAATGCCTGACATCCGTGTCATCAGAGAATAGTGTGACAGAAAGATACACCTTAAGATAGATGGTAAGATGGGTAATTTTTTTCAGAACCTTTGATTAGAAATCCTAATAGTCTAAGATGCATTTTTCACAAACTATTGCTTCAGCAGTAGAGTCATAAGCCAAGATTTTGAAATGTTTAACAACTTAGGATATCTCAATTTTTGAATATTCCTAAAGAACGTCTGGTGTTCAGTGTGAGTACTCAGCGTTTACTGAAAGCTGTTCTGCTTTAGGGAATTCAAAGCTCTGGGCCTCCCTTGCCACCCCCAGTCAATACTCCTAAAATCCTGTCAGCCAATATTAGTATCGTGTTGCTTTCGTGATAGATGAAGTTTTTCAGTCTCCTCTTTGATTGAGGTGCACTTCTTCTAAAGTCCATAGCCAACCTCCTGCCCAGATGTGAAGGCTGAATGAGCCGGCAGGTCTAGAATGGCCGTGTTAGTTGCCAGCAAAAGGGCTTGAGAACAACACTGAGAAAGGATTTCGGGAAGGTCTCCTGTTCAGAGTAAGAAGAGTTTGGGTTTTTTTCCCATTCAAAATTTCCTATATGAAAATTTCTCTTTTTCAACTGGCTAACAATGCAAAGTACTTGCCTGTCATAGTTCTGTCTTTCACTCCCCCCTTCCTCCTGACTTGAGGGATATTTATTTCATAGCTGAAAAACCTGCTAAAGTTAAAGAAAGTGTGTCCCACTGCTCCGATGTCAGCCTAAGCTCCAGGCTAAAGACAGTCATTGTGCTAGGTGCACAGAGGAGGTTAAGAACAATAAGCAGCTGAAGAAGTTTGCAGCTTGGGGATGCAATAGGAGGTCCCTCCAGCTCAGTCATAAGTCTGCTCTGCCTGTTGGCCAGTCTGTGCCAGACAATAAAAAATTACTCTTCTCTCTACTGACATTCTGACTTTAGAATCCCAGTGCCTTCTCCCATGGTACTGTCAGGCTCTTCTGCTACATTGGCAATTTTATCAATACTTAGAAGGGTTGACAAATGGATTTCAGGTTTATTGAAATGGATATTCCTGCAGGAGTTAAAGGAATAGTGCTATAAGCAAGCATTAACATCCAGTGTGGTCCCAGTTTCAGTCCTGAAAGGCTGTCTTCCTGTTGTAACTGTTTTCAGCCTGTACCGCAAAATTAATTCACCTTCTCCCAAAGGTTTGCTCTTCAATAAGAAGGCTCAAAAGAGCTCAAGGATTTTGAAATTACTCAGGAATCTGTACTGTCGTTGTGCAGTGTCCCAAGCATAGGCAGCTCAGGGAAGGAGATTTTGCAGTTATAGCAGCGACCAACATTTAAATGTTAAGACTCATAGCCAGAAGAGATGTATGAGACTGGTTTATTTTATTACAGTAATGGTGAAGGTTCGTCACTAATTGAGCTCACCTCTTGCACTGTGTTGGGAAGAGAATTTCTGAGTAAACTGATTCAGTGACTGTCCCTTACTGTGAACATTCTCTTGCAGATCCTTTCTTGCATCCTAACAATAGTAGCTACACACGCATTTTGGTTAAAGTAAAAATAAGAAGCTGCAAAAAGCCACCAGTCAAGACAACATGTGGGTGAATGGATTTTGCAAGTGTACTTACAGGGATTAATAGGACCTAGAGCCTTACACGTACTTCTGAGTAATGATGCCGTTTTTCTGCGGTGTCTTTCTAAGCAATGAGTTGTCTTGGCCATTTTATTGAAGCTTTGAATTGTAATATACTGTAAGAAGTAACAAAGTAACTCTGAAGGAAGGCTTCCTGTTCAATGACTTCACGAACAGTTTGAGTCTGCAATTGATTTTTAGATGATAAAGTTCAGTTTAGAAAGCAAAATCAGAGTTACTCACAGGCCAGGATTGAAAAGACATGAAGTAGCCTCCTGGAGGTAAACAAGGCTTCTCATGCTTTTCACAGGTAGATTTCTTGAAGGTCTACTTCTGCTGTTCTACCCACAGTAAAGTTATCGATATACAGCTGGTAAAAAGAGGAGAAAGAATACTCTGTCTCCCCTCTGATGATAGCTTTATAGGTTTTAATCCTTCAAAGTCTTTTACTAAGACTTTATTTACTGTATGCAGTTCTATTGAACAGATGGAGGTCTTCACAGAGAAAGATAAATGTATACGTACAAGATTCGAGGTCTTATTCTCCAGATAAATTACACTTGTATTCTCTTTACAAAATGTTTACTTACTTGAGTCTAATTTCAGGCTTGGGGTTTTTGGATGTTCTTCAGTCTCTCCTGTTTTCCATGCAGGCTGTCTGAGGTGTTGCATAGCAAGCTGTTCATCTCTGCTAGTACATTGTGCCTGTTGCTTACACTGTGTCCCACCTGCTTCTTCTACAGGAGATTGTTTTGCTTTGCATATTTGTATTGCATGTTGGCAATTATTATTTCTTACAATAGTTCATGATTTCCAGCATTCTGTTCTCCAAATGATTGGGGGTTATTACAGGCTAATAGTTTTTCCTGTCAGTGGCATTGTATTTTATTTGTCGGCTGCCAGAAGCAATATGATGGCTTTTATAACTCCATTAGTCAAAATACACTTAGCATATTTAAGATTCAAATAGCAAGTCTATTACAGATTATTTGGATTTAATATGTTTCAATTCAGCAATCTGACCGCTATCTTCAGAATTAATGATCTCATTTTTAAATATTAAGCCCTTCTTGCTAAAGAAGGGGGATGTCTAGTGACATAGGTTTTTGTATTGTTAAATATGAAAAACCTGTACATTGTATACAATTTACAATGTTTCTGCAAGGGCTAATGGACAAAGTTTTAAATAGCAGTATGCAATGTTTCTTACTTAACTTCTGGACTTCCTATTCCTGTGTATTTAAATTAATCTTCTGAAAAGTGAAAGGAGTATAATTATAATTTAAAATCCTTCTTGGTCTTTTTATAAAAAGCAGGAAGGAAACTCTCTGATGGCAGATTTGAATATACAATCTATGTTACTTTTGAATAATCATGGTGATGAGGTCGCTCTGTGTTAGTTGCAATAATTACAGATTTTTTCAGTAGTCATACCTAATAGTACTGAGAGGGAGACTGAACCAAATTTGAAATATTGCCATAGAAGGGTGGATCTCAAGGTGTTTGGCTTTTTTGTTGTTTGTTTGTTTGTTTCCCCCCTGCCCAAAGCTATGAGAGATCCAGGAGGATTTGGCAAAGCTACTAAAAAGCATGAAGGAAGAGCTTCAGGGTTGGTTAAGTTGCTCTTGCAAAGGATGGTAAACATTTTCATCAGTTGTCATGAAGCAGGTGTATTCCACATTACGAAATGCTTAGGAGATGCACACAATTTAAAATAGATGCCCCCTCAGAAGGTTATCCGGACTACGTTAAGTTCTAACATTACCTGAGGCATATCAAGGGAGGAAGATAAACCTGCAACTGTTCTGCCAATTTGTGGAGGCAATGAGAAGTGTCTGAGTGGTGAGGAAGCTCTTTTGGGTTGCTTCTGCTGAATATGTGCACTATAGAAGACCCGATAAATTATGGTGTTGTGGAAACAAATTGGGGTTTTCTAGTCATAGTGATTTGTTTATTCCCAGGTAAAGGCTTCCGTGAACATACTTGTTAATTATGTGCTTCGTTACATAAAGAAAAAAATCAGTGATCTAATCATAAGAATAGATACTGGGACATAAACCAAAGGTTATTTATTCCAGTATCATGTCTCCAACATTGGGCAAGTGGGAGTAACAGGGCTGGCGTAATGTGATACTTCCCCAAAATACTTCCCCAGCTTCCAGTTTTAAGTTCAGAGATCTCCTCAGTCAAAGGTAGAGTCTTTATATTAAATAGCCCTCAGTGGGTTTAATTTGTTCAGTTGCTTTCTGAATGCGTGTGTATCGGTAGCCTCTAGCAGGAGGAGGTTCTGCAGGTTAACTGTGTGTTATAAGGAGAATCACTGCCTTTTGTTTGTTGGAACCTGTCACGCAGCAATGCCGTTTATTGCTGGCTAACTTTTGTATCGGGAGAGAATGAGCAAGCAGTCCCAATTTACCTTCTCGGTGAGAGTTTCAGCCTTCTGCGTTTTGCAGGCATAGCCCTCCAAAAGCACAGGAATTTTCATTTAAATGATGTATAACGGGACTAAATACATGTCTAAAGTTGTATGTTAAAAGGATTAGAACTTAAATCTGCCCATCAGTTTTTCTGGACAACAGTACAAAACGTAAAAATCACGAGAGTATGTTGCATACATGCTTGCATAAAACTGTGTGCAGTGTGTGTCGAGAGAGGGAGGGTTGAGTGTGTGTGTTTATGCAGAATTGCTACGTTTGGCTAATTTTTGCCACTCATTAATTTGAATTTAATAATGCACAAATACTAATTGACAGGATCGTTGGCTTTCTTACATGTTATTTTCCTTTCCTAGCTGCGACAATTAGTTAATATGTGCATCAACCCGGATCCAGAGAAGCGACCAGACATAACCTATGTCTATGATGTAGCGAAACGTATGCATGCACACACTGCGAGCAGCTAAACAGACATCAGACCATGAAGAAAAAAGCAGAAATAACCAAGTGCTTTAAGTAAATCATCCCACCTCTTTGTGTGTTACTGAAATGTAATTATTTGAAGCTTACTGTTGTGCTTTGAATTGTAAACCAATTTATATACAAGCTATGTTGTTTTCTGTTTATTTCTATTTTTTATATTTTTTACTAACTTGCAGTTTTACAACAGGTTTAAATATGTAAAGCAAGACTTTAAAAGATACCGAGAACCACTGTTTTCCATGTTAAGTGGGTTCAAGTATATTTTCTTTAATAACAAAATTGTATTCAGTTGGGCCTCAGTTCTAAAACACAGTTGCACTTTTGCACATGATACAGATATTAGGCTTATTATCCAGAAGCAAAATGTCTGAATCTCTCACCTTTTTAGTAATTTATGGAAGGTATGAATCAGCACAGGTAACTTTATTTTAATCTTTGTTCTAAGAGGGACATAGTTATTATAGAAGGTTTTTGTATTTTATATTGAATTGTAGTTTGCAGTTCTCAGTGTAAGAGTAGACAGGTGATAGGATTAGTTCTCTGCTTGCCACATGTGGTGGGAAAACAGTTTCAGGAAAAATTGTCACGTTGAAATTTTTGTAACATCCCTTTTTGTTTTGTTATTCTGTCATAATGCACATAAAACATTTGTTGGCGGTTTTCTGGGAAAATTTAAGGTGTGGCTTCTGCAATCTGATCGTTTTCAATAGACTTGTGCAGCACTGCCCTGGGGCAATAGGAGTCTGCATAGTTAAGTCTTAAAACCATGCAGATGCTTCTTGTAGCAAATAGGGTTCTTCTGAGGCTAGCGTTTATGAGAAGGTCTGGTTAAAAGATGCTATCTTTAAGTTACAACTTCCCAGCTGTTTATGTATGTCACTGTTTGTAGATTTTTGTGTTTAAAATATTTTGAATGACCTTACAGTATATTTAAATTTTAAAACTTTTTTTTAACTACAGAAACCTTTTGGAAAAGATATAATAGCGTAGTGTAACACAAAATATATTCTTTATGAATATTTGGTTTTGTATACTGTATCCTGAGAATTAGTTTTATATTTAGCAAAAGTAAATTTTAGCTTTTATGTTTAAGAGAAAAGTTGCCACTCCTTAATTTGGGAAATAAATATATATGCAAAATGTCTTACAAATACTTTATTAGTTGAAAAGAGAATTCAAAATACTTTTGTTAGACCTTAGTGCCTTTTTGGGTATGCTTAAATAATATTTTATTGTTAAGGAAGGAAGGTGTCTTATTTTTAAATGTGGTAAAAATGGAGAATGGACTGAAATTTCTTGAGTTTCAAGACTGAACTTCTTATACAGAACTGTCAAAACATAATTATTACCAGTGATATTGCTAAGAAGCTGTTACGGTCAGTTAAATCTTTTTCCTTATGTGGGTAAAAAGAAGTTCAAATAAAAGGAGCAGTATGTACCTACACATATAGGTTCTAGATGCAGTCAATTCCCTGCACGCTCAGATCTTTTTTGTTTCTTTCTCTGTGCAGCTTTAATTTTTGATTTGATATAATGCTCAAAGAATAAAAATCCAACTGTGCGGTTTGTGGATGAAATGTTCGAGCTAGGTCAGAGTTTTTTCTGGTTTTGTATTTTTTAAAACTACAAATACTATGGAAATGGTGTTCGGCAAAGTACAGGAGTTTTTAAATAGTATGTGCCAGATCATCAGCCTATCTTAATACATTTTTCCTTTTTTTTTTTTTTTTAATTTTTCTTTCCAGATTTTGTAGGATGAATCCTTAGTTTTTCTTCTATCTTTTGTGTGTACTTAATCTTGTAGGACTTCAGTGGAACAATTTGTAGGGAGGAGGTATTTGAGAAACCTTGGTTTGTGTCTAGCAAACTCTAGATTTGTTTTAATTTATTATCTGATTATTGAATTTTAAAAATGATGGTAATGTTCTGTAACAACAGTTCATATGTCACAGAATGAAATGGTTTGTATTGGAAAAGGCAGCACAATACTTGCTTGACTGCCAGGATTAGCTCTTAATATGCACAAGTACTCAAACCATTTTTTTTCTGAAACGTACTAGAACATTTAAAAAATCACTGAAAACCCCCCAACACAGGCTATTTGCATCTAATATTATGCATCAAGTATTGAACTTTTCCTGAAAGAAACCAGTAATAGATTCTACCCCCCCCTGCCCCGCCTTGTCTGGGAGGATACATTGAGTAACGAAAACATGAGTTAAGAGTTAGCAAATGTGTATACTTAAGCATTTAAAGTTTTTTGTTGTTGTTTTTTTAGTATTTATGATTAAATCTTGTGCTGAGGAAAAGAAATAGTTGTTCCTATTTTAAAATCTGTAAAATGAATGGTACAAATGACTCTGGTAGCAAACTTCATGATTAAGAAGCCCTTATGGGTTAATAGAACTGCGTATATAACTGGGGACTGTAGAATCTATCCCCTAAGAAGAGCACCTAGTAACATGAAAATGATAAGTCTGTTATAACACTCCCATGTGTGCTATACACTTATAAAAAAATTTCTTTTATAAAACACCGTTCTATTTTTTGTATGTTGTTGTTGGCGGCATTTGGCACTATTTATTTTCAGCTATGGCATTAAGTGTTTATTTTCTTTAAAGAGAGCATCTTACATTTCTAATCAAAATGTCTGACTAGCTCCTCCTTTTATTTCAGTAATGCTACAGTATTAACTTGCTTCATGAGTGAACTTTGTGCTTGGAATGACATTGCATAAAATCTTTGTCTTGTCTTGAAAGCTCCCCTGCTGTGCAGTAGTCTAATAGAAATAAAACATACAGGTATTAAATACGATATAAAAATGATAGTGTTTCTATGATATTTTTCAAACTTTTCTTGTTACAGATATGTATGTATGTTACGGTAGATGCTACCTATCTTGCGGACAGTTTACTGCTTCCAGTAGTTTATTATGGTGAGTTTTCTTGACTGTAACAAAAGACAGCACATACAAAAAATCTTTTTCGTATTATTTGTCAAAATTTTTTCTAAAAATACTACATCAGATATATTCACAATTAACCCAAAAGAGTGTTTTTATCTAAAAGTTTAAAAACAAATCTAAAATAATTTTCAAACCATATGAAAATATCTGAAAAGCATAAAAATAACGAAGAGCTCCCATTATGGTCCCAGTCCTGTAAACTCTTGTTTATAGGTAGGCTGTTTTTTATGTAGCTTCAGTAATTTTGAGTCAACCTCATATACGCACATGAATAAACAGTAATCAGTAGGATATATAGAAATGATGCACTCAGCTCACTTTTTATACTTTCTGTATGTCACTGGCTTGGTAGCAGGGAATACTGTGGGGTTTTCTTCCCCCCTCTTCTGTTGCACTCTAATGATCCAGCTACCAACTGTATGAGCAGGCAATAGAAGTATGTCGTCTTTTTGTAATGAGCAGAAACTTTAAAAACATGCCAATGTACCGGAAGATGAAATACAGTATTAGAAGTGTCTGAGAAGGCTGGTGTTTTATTCATGCTCATGATTAAGAAAGCTATAGAGTGAAATTCTTGACAGAGCCTTGGAAATGGAGAAGGACTTCTTACGCCAGTGGTTCTCAGATATCTCTGAATGGGACCCAAAATCACAGTGATGTTTGTTTTCAGCAATCTGTCCACTTAATCTCTGTCTTTGCTGTTATACAGTGAGATGAGAATCTTAATGGCTGAATCTGAATGCTGGTGGCAAACGCTGTGTCAGGTACTTGAGCTTCTAGGAACAGGAGGCTGGTGTGAGGGAGAGTCAATGAAGGCCTTCAAGTCTTGCTTTGTGGAGAGTTAATTTAGTCTGGAAGTAAAGGTGCTGGATAGCAGAGTTCAAATCACTGCTTTTCCATCATTTTTAATACTTCTTTAACAGTCAAAAGTTCTTCCAACCCTGCCATACCCCGACATCATCTAGCTGGTGGCAGTGCTGGTTGTCTGAATTTCTGATCTCTGGTTTGGTCTGGATGAATTAATAAAACTTTTCTACCAAGATCACCCAAGGAGGGAAATACAGGCGCTGGGCATGCCCAGTGGGGTGTTACTTATGTTTCCAAACATGACTCAAATACAGATTTTTAAGGTTCTTTTTCAAACTTTACTCCCTTCCCTGAACCTTGTTCTTCAGTTGATGCTTTTTAAAAATTTTTTCCCTTTCATGCTCACTTCTGAAGTCCTACGATTCCTGTCTTCCACTGCTTCTGCTTCATCTGTCCTGTTGTCTGCTCTACCCTCTTACTGATTTGAAGTCCTCTGTGTCTAGTTTTCCTAGTGACCATTAGTTTGCTTCTTTCTTTGTGACTTTGCTAAACTCAGCCCATTTCTGTCTTCTCAAATTTTATCCCTCACCATGGGCAAGCCCTATTTTTTTTCTTCCCCCTGGTAAGTACTTAACTCCATTGTTCTTCAGTCTGTTTTTCCAGCCCAACGCCTTTGATTTCTAGTTTTAGACAGATTTTCTCACTGCCTCAATCATTCCCGTGACCTTGTCTTTAGTAAATACTGTTCACTTTATTATTTCTAAATTCCCTTTCTCTGATCACTACCTGCTCTCTTTCAGCTTATCTTTCTTTCTCTCTCCTCTACCCTGTCACTCACTCCTTCTGGGATCTCCAGTCTATTAACCTTTCTGACTCCTTTAGTCTTCTCGGCTGCCTCCTTCCTTCATTGGCCTCACTTCCTTTGACTCACTGGTCTTTATTTTCATCTCTATCTGCTGCTCTATACGTGGTTTCTTTGCTTGCTTCTCACATTGCCCTGTCCCCAGACATTTTTTCTTGTAACTTCTTAATTTCCATTCCTGCCTTTCCGAATATCTCTGAAGAGTATGTCAGCACAACACAGCTTTGGACTCAGCTTTGCCTTACCTGTTCTAATTCTCCTTCCAAATGGACTTTTTAACCCCTTTTATCTCACTTTTTTTAACTGTTGAACTTGCTTGCAGGTTTGCTGTTCATTTTATTTCTCCATTCGTTCTTGATACAAAATGTGTCTTCAAAACCAATCTTGATTTTTGCATGATGAGATTGTTTCAGAATTGTTCTACTTCTAAGAATCTGTTTCTCAACTGGGCTTCTCTGACACTTAACTATATGAGTTTGCCCTTTTTATTTCTCTATCTTTTATGTGTGTCGCTCCTTTTATTGAATGACTTCTTCCTCTTTAAATCCTCCTCTCATTTCCTTCACTAGTAACCAAGTTTCTCTTTCCTCTGTCTTGAAGGGGATGGCACCCATTGTCCTAACTGGTTCTCTTTTTTAATACTTTGCCCTTTATTCCACATTTGTCATCCCCTAATTTCATGTATCTGAACATCCTCCCTCCATTTTGTTTTCAAGTTTTTGGCTTTACACTTTAATTTGAATGCCCTCAAAATCCAGTGCTTCCTTCCCCAGTTTGGTTCTCCCATAGTTCTATCTCCAGATGATTCCTTGAGTATCCAGCCACAGTCTCAGACCTGTTCAGATTCAAAGATCTAATTTTATTCCTACCTCCCTCTAGACTATTTTCTAACATCCTGACAATTTTACTTGCCTATTTTCCAGGGCCACAACCTTTCTATCCCTGACACTTCTCCCATGCCTGTGTATCAAATGTCTCAACATTAGTAGTTGAGACAATCTGATGATTCCAGCCCTCTTCACTATCTGTGTTCTTTCTTATCTTTTATCTTCACTGTTTTAACCTCTGTCGTTTTGACTTCTTTTCTCCCTTCAAAGTACCAAAATTGGCAGGACTAAACTCCTGTGGCTGGGCTTTAGCTGTTTCATGTGCTGAAGAAGGAACTCCACCAAATTACTACTTGTTTTGTGTTTAAGAGACTCGAGTCCCACAGATTTGGTCTTATTTCAGGACTGTGGAGCTGGAGTAGATTCTATTTCTCCAAGTACTTAAGTGCTTGAATTTGGGCCTTGATTTGGTTTTCTACCAGTTCAGATACAAAGAAACGAAGGGCAAAAACTTTGTATTTACTGTATATAACTTGTCTTGTTTCTGCACATAGAGCTGACAGTTCTCTTGTTACAGCAACTTGATTTCAGTGCTTTTACCGTTGCTTGAAATAAGAAAGTGCTTGAGAGCTTCACTGGCTGGATCCCGAGTATTAGGCACAAAGCTCCTCTTTGTTACTGTCCCACCCTTACACTGGCTTCTCTTATTTGCTGCCCTCTGTATCTTCCCTAACTGAAGATACGCTATATTACACTGCAGGGTAGTGTAGATACAGTTGAGCCAGCTGCAAACAAGGTAGCCTGTATACTTGCAGCAATACTGCAAGTTCTTATCAACAGCCAAATGTTTATTTGTCCTGTAGGTCTAGAACGGAGCTCTGTGCTGTACTACTTCTCTATCCGTGCTACCCTAATTTAAAGCCCAGTCAGATCTGCCTGCGTGGTGGACTGCATGGTTCTCTGTGTAGGTGTGCTATCTGACTTCCCAGTTTTAGCAGGCTTTCAGATTTGGAAGACTATGTTTGCAAAGATTCACTGTTGATCAAATTGTCTGACCTTTGATTGCTCATAATTATCCTCGTATACATGTTGAGATTGAGAAGCAAGGTCCTCCATAAAACTAAGAAGTTTGGGGTTTTGGGACTGTAGGATGTAAAGCTGAATGTCAGATTCAGTTTGTGTGTGGGTATACACACATTTAATCACTGTTTATTTGCACCAGAATAATTCTTTTCTTTTAGAGGATCAGCTGCTTGTTGGCACAAAACAGAGACTCTTCTAGTGTTTTTCAGGTTTTATGTTTATTCTTTGTTGCCAGTTTGTATCATGTCATACCGTTAGTTAATTTGTTCTTCTACAACTGCTTTAATGCTGGGTGGAGGCCTTAGACCTTTTGTCTAATCGAAATCTTCTGTTCATATGGAAATAAAAATAAATTAAGAAACTAGGTGCATTGAGTCCTTCCTGATAGTTCCGCTTGCTTTGCATTTAAATCCTAGCAATAGAAAGACATCTCAAACTGGACAGAAATGGTCCCCAAGATAGAGATGTTGGGAAGCACTGGGGCTCCCTGCTTCCTCTCCACCTCCTAGCTCCTCATTCTCTGGCTTCCTTGGGGCGCTTGCTGGGGGCACGGCACTGCCAGTGTATGGAGGGCTAATAGAAACTTGGAAACTAAAATGTTGATGTTATCTTGCTTACGTTCCTGTGGTGTCCTTTCTCAGTGTGAATAGGAAATCTCCCGTTTAAAAATTACTAGGAAGATCTCTGGTATTGTTATACAGTTGTTTATGGCTCTTTACACATTTGGCATTAAAAATGTGTTTGCTGTTACAAAGAGAATTTTAAATCATGCAAAGGCTCTTAGTTTGTCTTTTAATATGGTGTTGATACTGTTCTGTACACTTCATTTGCTGGTTGTTTCTTTGATAACAGTTGTGCTGGACCGTTGTAAAGATGATCATTAAAGATGAGTATTGCATTTTCTGGTAAGATTTTGTTGGGAGAGGGGAAGAAGGGAAGCATTCGTTGATTTGTTTGAATTTGGCTGCTGATTGGGCTTGAATCAAATCGTAGAGTCATTCAGGTTGGAAAGGACCTTGAGAGAGGTCTCTGGTCCAGCCTCCTGCTGAGAGCAGAGTCAGTGCTGAATTCGGACCAGGGCTCAGGGCTTCAGCCAGTTGGATCTTGGAAACCTCTAGGGACAGAGATTGTGCAGCTTCTCTGGGCAGCCTGCTCCAATGCTTAGCTAGCGTCACTGTAAACCTTGTTTTCCTTATGTTCAGTCAGAAACTCCTTGGTTACAAATTATGGCCGTTGTTTGTTCTCCTGGCACTCCTCAAATGTTTTTTATATTGCAAAAAAGGTAAGTCGAGTATTGAAACATCAGAGAACTTACAATGTTTTATTTTCTGAAACTGTTGTTGCAAACAAATAAATATGTTCATGTAGTACTTCTGCATCCTGTATGACACGTACACTATATTAATTTACTACTTGAGTGTAAAATAAAATTTTTGGCAGTAAAACTTGATTTAAAAGTTCTGTGATGTCTATGGCCTGGGTGTTCTCAATTGTTACCTTTTAGATCTACTAGATGTTTCCTGGCAGAGCACAGTTCTGCCTGCCTTGGTGAAGCAGGGAAGTCGGGATCCTGAACGTAACTTTGCGTTTCTGTCTTCTGGAGCCTGCCTTGAGGAAGGTAGCTTACCGCTGGAATGGGGTGGGAAGGAAGCTAACGTGCATCAGAATAACTGGTGGTTATGGGAACTCTACTTTTAAACTCTCATGAGCTCGTGGAAGCTTTCCTAGAGAGATTTATCAAAACTGAGATTTGAGGAGGAAAATGATGGGGGGTGGGGTGGGAGGGTGGGCAGTTTTCAGAGTAGTAGTTGGTTTTGGTAAACTTTCCCATGTGTTAAATGATAACTCAAAATTTGAAATGTCTGACCACAAACTTCTTGGAAGCAAATAAAGAATATTACAAAGAGATTCAGTTCGAAATTTGACAGAAATTCAGTTTTATGAGACTAATTTCCTTAAACCGAGAATAATTTCTTGATCTTATCTCACTTAACAGTTGTCGTTCTGGCAGGGGGGTGGTAGTGGTGGCTGTATATAATTTTTGTATTGGAGCTTTTACAAGGCATGTGTTTTCCTACACCTGCTCGTGGAAAAAAAAACTGTCTAGCAGCTGGGGTCCTTTGTCTGCTTCGTTCCACATCAGTGCAGCACAGGCGGCAGAGGGGACGTGGTGACCGAGTGTGCCTTGTGTAGCATTTGCTTCCAAGCAGGTACTGGCACGGGGTGGAGCTGCACATGCTGCTCCGTTCTCTTGCTTCCCTCTGGTCAGACCCTCTGGTGCCAGGAAACAGGAAAGTCAGAGGTACTGTGTAAACACACATCTCTGATGTACGTCAAGTCCACCATGGTAGAATTTCTTCTGATTTTCATTCATTTGTAATGACTTAATATAATTCAAAAGTCTAAAACAAACAAAAAAAAAGTTACAAATGATTCAGAGCTTTTACTCTTGTGGAAGAATATCTTGTAAGGTAATTTAATTTTGCAGGACTCAATATACGTTCTTAGCAACAATGATTTTTGTTGCTTATTCTAAAACAAATAATTAGAGTATGGTTTCTCCATACTGTGATCTGTTAGGACTAAAGTTTTTCCTGCTATACTTTTCCTCACTGGATAGGAGGAATTCAAAGTTTGTTTTCAGAAGCGGAGAAGGAGCCAAATGCAGTTGCACTGATTTCAACCCCCAAAGAAGGACTTGGGCTTGAGTCCAGCCTGAGCAGCTGTAATGCTTCCACTTGTAGCTGGAAGGGAATTCCTCCAAGGCAGAAGCTCTGCTAGACGGACATAAAACAGCTTTCTGAGGATCACCTCAAAAAGTTTTAATGAGTTCGCAGGGAAGACAGGGGTCTTAAAGCATTATTACTGTGGAGAGTGTTTTTAATGCTGTGGCCTCTTGATAGGCTTTGGAAGTACGGGGGTCTCCAGCTGCAGTACCCACTAGGCTGAATTCGAAGGAAGGACTGCTTGTCCTTTCTCCTCTAGCTGAGAGAACTGTACTGTGTGTTCGGGGGCTAAATCATGGTCTGGCTGAAAAATCCTGCCTCAGGTGGGAGAGCCTTTGTAGGTAGGCTGCATGGACTATCCAATAATAGTAGTAAGTCAGTAATTTGAAGAACCACGTACAGTCGTCATCTTCTTGTAATTTAGTTGTTCCACTCCAGAGCTTACATGGATATGGAGATGACTTTGATAACTCGGTCCTTGTATAAGAGCAGAAATAGGACGAGGGTTGCCCTGTCTTGTTTTTTGTATTTTCCTGTGGTATGTTTTTGTTGTTGGTTGTTATTTTTTTGATGGGTTTTGCTTTGTTTGCCAAACACTTCTCACCTTAAAATTATAATAAAAAATGTTCCATATAGATGGAATAGTAATTTTATATACATTTATATATATATTAACAAGGCTTACAAAACGCTGCATGCTTCTTTATAGGAAATGTTTGTAAGTTGATCTATAGTCACCCAGATGTACTTGCTACTAGCTGCCCTTGACTGTCACGTTGCACTGTTGTGAATGTGAACGTGTTTTCTTTGTTAAAATCTAAGAACTGATCCTATGAAGATAAAATGCAAGGCGTACACCTTTAAAAAAAAAATAAATATGCCACATACTGCAAAATGAGGCAATTATTTGGTCTTCCCAGAACCCTGCTTCCTGTGTGTGGGTATCAGTGGTAAGTATGGCCGTTAGCAAGGCTGGCGCTGGTTCGAGCATCATTAAATAGAAGCCTGCTGACACCGGCCATTGATCCAACAGCCGGCACAGGGCCTGTGGGCCGCAGTATTTCCTCCCCCTTCTCTTACTTCTCTCTGGGGATAACCAGTTGGAAGAAATGACCCGCTTGCCTGGAGTTTTCAGAATCGGTGGGCAATTCGATGTGAATTGTCAGCTCCAGCTCGAAGGGGAAAGGATCATGCAGTTGACCCTTCTCTGTTGTTGGCATTCTGTTGCTGTAACGTTTGGCCATCCCTCACAATGTCACCATTCCCAAGAAGACCTTGTGAAACTCCACCAATGCAGTATTTGGAAAGCTGTCATCTTTTAAAGCTGTCATGGGACAAAAGGGTGGTGATTGCTTTGAGCTATAATACTTTTTTAAAAAACAAAGTTCTGCCTATTTAGTAATGAAATGTTTGTGATGCTAAGCAATCTATTTATAAAACTATATTTTATTTGAAAATTGCTTTATTTTTCATTCTGAGAGTGCACAAGTTGATGACAATGGTCCCAAATGGGTAGAAACAGATGACGTTCAGGTAATATCCACGAAATGGAACATATACTACTCATAAATACCATATTCTTCCCATTTATTGTTGTTTTCAGTCTTGAATGTTTTCGTTAAAGAACATTAGTAGCTCTCAAAACTGCCGCAAGCTTTTATAAAAACAACTTAGGTATTCTAATATGGTGTGCTATGAGAACTTTGCATATATTTTGCAACTAATGATTTGTATTTCTTTTCTGTAAGAAATTTAAATTAGACAAGTTATGATTTTGTTATTAGAGTGGTACCCAAATGCCATAAGCATGATCAGAATCCCATTGTAACTAAGTGGTGCATCTATTGAGAATATTCTCTGTATTGAGTACAGTCTGTCATGTAATTAAATAAACTTTTGCACTAAGTTGCCTCACATGTTGATTTGGAACACTGGCAGTTATTTGCCTGCAGCAAAGTACCTTCCAAATGTATAACTTCTGCCTGCTTTTGGAGTTTTTGTTGGAATTTGGCCTTTTTATTTCCTCCTGATTTTTAATTTCTGACTTTGCAGTAGCTTGATGGTCCTATACAAAAAGAACTGTATATCATAATTGTAATTTATTTCATGGTAATTGAGTGTAAAATTCTGTGCTTAAAATGCAATCCTAAAACACAACTTCCTTTTAAATCAGATATTCTGCTGTTCTCTCATAAACTTAAAATATGGTCAGCGTTACATCTTTACATAACTTCATAATTTTATGTAATAAAAACCTGAAATAGAAATTCTTTTTGTTTGACTGCATAAAGTGCCTCAGAGTTGAAATTGCAAAGAAATCAATTGTGTTCTTCAGACCTCTCAATAATTGTCTTTATATTCATTCTTTAAGGTCCTAACTAAGTTGAAATGCAATGTTTCATTCCTGACATTTAATCCATGAAAACGTCCTTGGAGATGTATTATTCCCTTAAAATAATTTACGTGTACCCTATAATGAACACACGCTGCTGGAGGTATATCAGAATCATTTTTGCTCTGCTACAGGACATAAATAGGAAACATACACATGCCTCATTTGAAATTGGTTTATGTAATTGTCATATGACAAACGTGTCGTTGAAGTCTTGGGGCTATTTTTTGTTGATGTATTTATAAAAAAAAAAAGGTACGGTATCAAACTCTAACAGATGATGATTGCATGAACTAACATTGCATCTTTTGGCTATTCTGATTTGTTTAGTTTGTAAATGAATAAAAATGGTACTTGTGAGCTCAGTCTGTCCAGACACATTCAGGTAGATTTGTCCACCTGTACTGTCGGTGTTGCCATTTGCCTACCAAGATGCCGACCCTTGAACGAGCCATTCTGGGGGGGCTATGGTACGAACTCACTCCACGGCAACTTGCGCTCGCGCGGCCTGTAACCACGCTCTCGCCTGGCGATACGGTGTGTTACGAGCGAGGCGGTGTCGGCTTAGTGAAGTAAGGCTGACTTGCTAGCATTTATTGCTGAACGACTGATGCTGTGGCCTACTTCGTTGCGCTCGACTCATTTGTATGCTGGGTATTGCCAGTGTTACCAAAATGAGTGAGTGTATCTAGCAGAGAGTCGTCTTTATAGGACTTAGTTAATGGCTAAAACTTTCTGCATCCAGAACTATATTAAAAACCATAGTAAGTCATTACTTTGGACTTGCGTGCTTCCTGTACACCTCTGCCTGTACTTACGTTAATCAAATTATTTTTCCTACTAGTTAAGAAAGAAGAATGGAGCAAGAATTATTCTGTCATGGTAGTGCCTCCTCTTTGTATCTCTAAACTAGCTAAAAGTCTTAAAGATGTATGGCATAGGAATATCTATTCTGTTGAACTCTGTGGATGTCCATTTTTGGACACCATAAAGGGACTTGATTATTTACATGTACTGAGCATTTATTATGCGGATGCGGGTATCGTAGATGCTTTTAAACTGGGTATCAGAAAAATCAGTTGAGTGCTATTGAAAAGCCTGATCTGCTCAGTATGGAAAAACGTGGCACGCTTTCTACCTTAATGACCCTGAGTGTACAGGTTGGCCCTAATTATGTCTCTGTTTCCATTTTGTTTTTCCGTGCAACTCGCGCAAGGCGGGTTTCCATCGTGTACCAGCCAGATGTTCCC